AGGAGCTCCCCTGCCTTTGCCCCTTCCCCTGCAGGAGGGAAAGCTCTAACACCGGTTACGGGCTAGAGCAGGTAGCACACGTCTATCTGGTTTTTAAAAAGTTTCCCGAAGTTTAAATATTTATAAATGTTTTAAGAATAATACTCAAAAGCACCTTCCTTACCCTGGCTTCGGCTCTCGCTCCCAGCGCTCGCCCGAGCAGGGAAGAGGAAAGCATGAGGGGAGGCTCGTGTTACCCCTCAAGCCCCCCCATGGGGAGGAAGCAGGTACAAATCAGAAACAGCTTTAGATAGAAAAAGAAAATTTAGGTCTGCGGCCAGGTGTTCTCTGCCGGTACACGACAAACGCCCCAGGCTCTTTCCGGCAAGGAAGAGGGACGCACTTTGGGGGTGCCCAGGAAAAGCTTCTTCGCGTTCAAGAATATAGCCTGAAGCACGGCAGCAGGAAACCCAGAGACAGCCCAAACTCGCGTCCAATAACCTCCTCTGTCCTATCACCTGAATCCACCCTGGAGGTAAAGCCCCCGGCCACGCTGAGGGCCTTCGCGCATCCCCCATCTCACGCGCCCAAACACAACACCAGCTCACAGCCACACAAACCACAAGCGCAGCCTTAAACAAAAGGACGCAGAAATCACTCAGAAGAGGATTGCTTCTGCTGGTACCACCTGCGAGACAGAGGTGCAGGGCACCCGTCTCGCCTCCACGCGTAGGCCTGAATGGGCACTAAACGCTTAAGACCTGCCCAGGAGACGCCTTCGCTTGTGGCAGATGTCTCCAGCCAGTGTGGCAGTGACCCTGCAGTTAAGGCTTTTGCAGCAACAAGAACCAGACGTGTAGCTCGTCTTGAAGATGCTCAAGTTTTCCAGGACACGCGCAGAGACTCACTAGCGCGTTACACTCGATACCTCCCTGCAGAGAAGGCTGCAGCTGGAATTGCTCCCCTACTGAATAAGGGAAAGGGCAGCACGATTCGCCGCAACGCCTGACAAACCATGCCGCGCAGGCTCTCAAAGCACCCAGGTAAGCAAGAGACAAATCTCTGCTGGGAGCTTCAAACATAAACTCTGTACCTAAGAGGTTACCCTGGTGGTTGACCAGCTCCAGCAAGCTGGCACTGGCAAGGGTTAGCATTACTGATTGCTCTTTAAAATAAGAGGAACTGGATGTAGAACAGAGTTTCACAAAAACATAAGGAGACAGTACGTTTATTGAAGTTTGGAAAAGTATAGTCCGAGAAGAAAATAAGTCGGCTTTTCCAAAACGTTAGACTGAAACTTCCCACCTCCAGCTGGATTCCCTGTTCCAGGATTTAGGTAGCAGTAAAAGCTAGGTTTCCAACTTGGAGAGATAAGGGTTGCGAACAGCAAAGCGCACACAGGATTCCCTGTCCAGCCAGCAGGATCTTGTGCCTGACACCGGGCCCAGAGCCGAGGAGGATCTGCAGTCGCTCAGAAGCTGCCCACCTTGCCCATTTTCATCGTATTTCCCAACTGCGAGACCCGCGATGCAGCTCCTCTCAGATTAAGCCCTGTGCAACTACAGACCACATCTGTCAACGTATTTCACGTTTATACCCAGACTAGGCTCTACATGGCTTACATGCTCGAAACACCATTTCCCAGGCTGTGGTCCAGCCAGCTCCACAGCCTTCCTGCACAGCTGCCAGTGGCACCCTGCAAACGGACTCCTAGATTTCACGTTAAGCTGATATTCTGCCAAGGTATCATTCTAGCCAGCTCCAATGCAGCTCTCCGTCAACCCAGCCGGGCACCCCTTGGGCACAAGCCCACTCCGCGTACGAGGCCCCTCGCCTCAGAAGCCGAGCAGTGCTGAGCCAGGCCAGCCACACGTGGGCAGCTCCTCCGGACCCTCTCCCCAAAACCGCCACCTGAGGTGACAGACAGGCCCTCAGCCAAGCCCGCAGTCACCAACCACCTCGCCCTGGATGTTCACATCGCACCAGCTGCCACGAAACACCACCACCAACACCCCAACGTTTCCGCAGCCCTTTCCATAGCCAATGTTAAGAATCGCGATCCGTAACATGACTTAAACGCACCCCGTTCACAGCTCTCCCCGTTCGCACCCCTGCTTCCCTCTCCCGCATCAGCTCCGCACCACCAGGAGGTGAGCGAGGTCTCACCGCGCCATGCTGACTCCTGGCCCTTCTGCTAAGCAGGTAACACGCAAGGTGAGGCTGGCGAGACTCTCCTTCACCATCACCCCCGAAGCCACAACCTCCAACATGCA